AAAACAAAAGAATATCTTTTAGAATATTCATAAACTGCTACTATACAATTATTTTAGAATTGTTCTTATAAGCTTATGTTTTACATGCATTTAAAATCTTAGCTCGTAATATATATGTTATTAAAGTTTCATTCCCTGTCATTGAGACTCACTGAGTACAATGGATGGTACTGACGTTCTCTTTTGGGAACCTACGTTGGTCTGCGGTACAACGTAGGAATTGATTTTGCAGGCGAGCAGGCTACGAGTTAGGACTTCCTTCTCTTCCAGTGCTATTGGTGAGCTCCGCTTTATTCCTTAGAGTTATCTTTATTTAGATATTTCTTTATTTACATAGAGAATTGGCCAAGAAATCTCATGTCCTGAGCAGTGCATCAGTTTATCAGTAGAGGCTTCATAGACATAGTCGTTGGGTTAAGATTCAAATGTTTTTGTTAATAACTTAGCAGCATTTTATTGGTTACTACGAATAAGGTTATGAAGTTGGCTTTATTTAGATATTTAAGTTATTTAAACGTATTTGGTTACAGTAGTGCCTTGTGGCATATAAAGTTTGAAGTTATAATAGATTTTATAAGCAGAGATGGTCCGCTCGGTCATGTTTAGTGATCCAGTGCCGATCCCAGCTTGTTCAGAAAATGGGTCGTGACAAACTTGGTGCCTCAGGTTTATGGAGTCTTAGGGCTATGAAGCCGTGTTAATAGAGTCTTGTTTAAGGGTATGAAGCGCGTCATGCTTATAAACATGAGGCTACAAGCATTTTGAAAAAGTCTCATTTTTCTCATACTTTAGATTGTGCAATAGATCCTACCTCTTAGAATTTATCTAATGTATTCGTTTCTCCAAAACTCGCAGAAATGGCTCGTACTCGCAACTCTGACACTGACACTCAAGATGCTGCTCAAGAAACTATTGCTACTATTGTGGCTCAAGGCAGAACTAAAAAGGCTCCAACTTAGAAAAGGAAAGGTAAATCCACAAAGGGTGTTCAAGTACCCCGGGTTGAACATGAAGAAGGGGTGGAGCATGATGATCTAGTACCTCAGGATCTAGTGTCGCCCCCAACAACAGCTCCGGCTTAGGCAACTATATCTCCCGAGGTGGGTCAGATGTTTAATGATGTCAATAGTGCTATGGAGATGTTTAAAGCCTTTATAGCCAACCAGAATGAGAGAAGAGATGAGATTCCACCTCAATCAAATAGACAGAACAATTCTGAGTCCTCAAGAGTGAATGAATTTTTGAAGTTGAGTCCTCCAGTGTTCCATGGTTCTATAGTTGATGAAGATCCAATGTTGTGGCTGGAGGGTGTCAAGAAAGCCCTCTGAGTGATGAAAGTGTTTGATGATGAAGTTGTGGAGTTGGCTGCTTACCAGCTTAGAGATGTGGCTGGCGCTTGGTTTGAGATGTGGGAAAAGGAAAGAGATGAACCTGTGCCGATCATACGGTAACTGAGACAGAATTAAGTCAGGATAGTTGGAACTCCCAAAGTATAAAGTGAAGTAATTTTATATAAGAAAGAAAAACAAAAGAATTTCTTTTAGAATATTCATAAACTGCTATTTATGCAATTATTTTAGAATTGTTCTTATAAGCTTATATTTTACATGCATTTAAAATCTTTGCTCGTAATATATATATTATTAAAGTTTCATCCCCTGTCGTTAAGACTCACTGAGTACAATGGATGGTACTGACGTTCTCTTTTGGGAACCTACGTTGGTCTGCGGTACAACGTAGAAATCGATTTTGCAGGCGAGCAGGCTACGAGTTAGGACTTCCTTCTCTTCCAATGCTATTGGTGAGCTTCGCTTTGGTTCTTGGAGTATTCCTTGGAGTTATCTTTATTTAGTTATTTCTTTGTTTACTTAGAGAACTGGCCAGGAAATCTCATGTCCTGAGCAGTGCGTCAGTTTATCAATAAGAAGATCATAATAACGAGAAATCTTTAATAAAATTTCAGGAATTACAACATCTTTTTATCCAAACAGAGGAAAACATCAGAGCAGATACAAACACACAAAACTTCGAAGAAGAAAAAATTCTCATTTTCTATCAAGCAGAAAGAAAGAAAAAGAAAACTTTCAAAATGAATGTACCTTCTTCAATCATTTGTAAGCAAATAGCGGAATTTCCCCTTGATTCGTTAGGTCTTTTCTTTTCCAGTCCCTTTTGAAGTACGCTTTCACAGCATTCATGGCATGGAGTTTCATCTCAGAGAACTTCATTTTTTCTTTTTTGCAGAGAAACAGAATCGGAGAATGAGAGTTGTTTTTGTAGTTAGTTATACAGAAGAGAGCTCGTTACTAATAAGTTCGTTACCAGCGGCTGCCCTCGCCGTTATTCTTTTAAGTGTGTATTTACCGTTTTAGCTTTCAGTTACGGGGTGAGTTTGGAATACCACAGGGGTGTTTTCGTCAAAGAAGCAAAGTAAAAGAAGAGAGGTTTGGATATACTAATCAAATTTGCTGGGAATTCTTATTTCTTTTTTATTCTTCTTAATGATTGAAAAGTTTTAAGTACTTGCATCTGCTAAATTGTCAAATTATTTTAAACGTCATTCTACTCTCAATCTATAATTTTTCATATTATTTTTAAATTACTTTTTAATCAAAAAGTCAATTCAACTTTGCAAGTATCATCAAAAGTCACTAGGAGAAAACAAATGAGACATTTTATATGATGTTTAGGCAAGGTTGAGTGACTTTTAGGGTGTTTTTGGTATAATGGAAAATATTTTCCGTGGAAAATGTTTTCTATTTTCTTGGAAAACAAGTAGTAATCTTACTCATTTTAAGGTTGTTGATATGCAAAATAAGGAAAATAACTTCTTAAGAGTATTCATAAATAGTTTAGATACAATAAACATGAAGCCATAAACTTTCGAACCAACAATCTTCCGAAGCCACAAATTTCATAAACTTCCGAACCGCAAAACTTTCGAACCCGTAAACTTTATAATTTCTAAATACCCGTAATCTTCCAAACACATAAACCCCCGAACTCATAACATTGGAACTTGTACAATTTCGAATATGTAAACCGAAAGATGAAAAAACTGAAAATATATAATTTTTTTAGGGAGGGTGCAGGGTGTGCAGAAAAACGGAAAAAAAAAAAAAAAGAAATTT